CGAGAGTAACCCGGCTTCGCCCAGGAACCAATCATAATAGGAGTCCTATTCCGCGCGTATGTTTCCGCGCTAGTATTCAACAAATGTAACTCTTTTAAAATCAGTCGATAGGAATGGATAAAGAAATCCAGCGGGGTGGATGAGAAGCGGAATATAAAGAGCAAGCAACCACACTTAGCAACCTCTTTCTGTCTTTCACGGGCCGAGGTGGCCGCTAATCAAGAAGGGGACGGGCACGCCTGCCTTGCTTTCCTTTACCTGAGCTTGCCTCGGCAACAAAGGCCCAGCAGCCGGCAGTAGAGAGTGCCGCGTCGCTCGCCTGAGCCGGTGTCCACTTCCAGAGACACAGCCCCCGCCGCTTCCTCAGTTGGGGAGGAAGGTAGCAGAAGCGAAGCCAGCCAAGCTCCCTGGCGGGCTTCTGGGAGATAGCAGGCAGGTGGCGGCGCCCGGGGACCCTTCCTTCCGCCAACCGAGGCCGCCCCTCATTTCCTTCTGAAGGGAAGCGGTCAAAGCAGCCGCTGTCCGGGGGCGACTCTCCCTTTCTCTCCTACATCTCCCTCGAGGTCCTTGTGTTGTGTAATCCCGCTCAAAAAGCACCGCTTACAGTCTTCTCAACTTCACGGTTTGCGCCGCGACGCAGGCGGGGGTGGACGCGAACGCCGAGGTGCCATTTCAGAAAAGAGAAGAAGAAAAAAAAGGTGGGGGGAGCGAGGCGAAAGGCTGGGTGCGCGCGTGAGAAGGAAGATGTTCTCGAAGTCTAGGGCAGAGCTAAGGTCATAAGGGGATCGGGAGGTCTTCCTCCTATCCTCTCCCCCCCCCCCACCTTTCCTTTCAGCCTCCCTCCACGCCGCCCCGCGTGCTTCAAACTGAGCAGGGAGCGGCGGCGGCTGCCGTTGCCTTGCAAACATTGAGAGACAGCGCCTGTCATGCTTCTGAGCAACAGCCAGCTCCCTTCTCCTCCTCCTCCTTCTGTTGCTGTGCTGCATTGGGAGCCGCGTTGCCATTGAACGGCGGGACCGAGGCGAAGAGGAGCCCCGACCGAGCGCCGACAAGAGGCTTGGGCTTGCTGTTGTCTTGAGGCGAAACAAAACAAGGAGGGGTGGAAGGATTCTGTTTAAGCGGGGCGTGAGAAAAGAACCAGCGCGGGAGAGAGAGAGTGTGTGTCAGACTACAGAAGGGGCTGAGCTCGCTTGCTTCTCTCCTTCCCACCTGCCCGAATGGCTGGATGGATCAAGAGCTGAGCCCGGCTGGCGAACAAACTTGCAAAGGCCGTCGGATGCCTTTGGGAGACGCCGCCGTGCTTGCTGGATGCCGGGACACCATTTCCGCCCGCGCCGCTTTGCACGAGGGGCGGGAGGGCGCCGAAGGCGATTGTTGGCGCGGCGGTTGCTGCTGCTGCTTCTGCTAAGGCGATCCTGATGTCCGCCCCTTCCCGGGACGCAATGGCGGCGGCGGCAGATAGGAGCCCCTTGAATCCTGCCCAGGCTCGCTTAGCCTCTCCCACCATCTGATTGGATACGGCTGGGCTCTGCGTGGGACTGCGGGGCTGCTGCGAGGGCTCGGGGAAACCATGGGTTACTGCAGCGGCAGGTGCACGCTGATCTTTATCTGTGGCATGCAACTGGTAAGTGAGTATGCTGGCTGCTTGCTTTGGCTTCCTTTTAATTGTGTCTCCCGATCCCCTCCCTCCGATCCGAAGACTCCCTTGCGAAAGAAAGTGCAAAAGAGGGGTGGGGGCTTAGGGCGGTAGTGCTAATGCGAGGGAAGCAGGAATTAGAAGAAAGGTAACCTGAAGTGTGGCGACACTGTAGGTACTTGCTAAATGGATTTCACCTGAGGACCGGGTAGATTTTTTGTTTGGGGTTCCGGTTCTGTGCTCTTAAGTCGGGAGCGAGTCTCCTTGAACGGAGTGGGCTGTCTTTCCGAGTGCGGGAAGCATTGGTGTGGTGTTTAAAAAGTGAGACCTCTTTTCCACTTGAAGGCCCGCCAACTCAGAGAGATATGGGATCTTTCTAAAGCTGAACGGTTTTTGAAAGGGAATTGGACTTAGAGTAAATTGCCACAAAAGGTGTAGTTTAGGAAGGCATGAAAAGTTAACTTATCTTCAGGGAGGCTTAAAGCGGAGACTTGGAATGGGCTGTTTTTAATTAAAACGGGTGAACGCTTTGCGATCGTGATTATAAAGTGGTTTCATATTATCAGGTGAGAGGCTGTGTTTAGGGATTAAGTAGCGTATTGTTTTTAAGTGGGTGGTAAAAGCTCAGATAACCGCACCGTGTAATTTTATTGGATGATGAAACTGCCTTGGCCACAGATTGAAAAGAAGATAACTAGCAAATCGGTCTCAGTCTCTGACCTTGTGTGTCAGAGATTCCAACTACTGTAGTTTTGCTGAATACTTTGGTAACTGAAAAGGTGTTTCAGAGATGCAGTTCCAATTAGCCAAACAGTTTGTGAAGGTACCTTGATTGAATGAATTAGGTGGAACAGGTTGTGAAATAGTTTTCTACAATTGCAATTCTGTCCTCTTTGCATGGGAGTGGATGGTTTGAACCTCTGTGTAGAGTCTAGTTATAAATGAGTGAGAAAAGCAATTAACCTTGAGAACAGGAACAAATTTTCTAATAGTTGGTATGATACTATTTAAGGTGCTTTATTTTCTGGGAATGACAGGTGGTTAAAAAGATAGTCTGGGAGAAGAAAATGGCCAACGATAGGTACATAGTCTAGGAAGGTGTTTTAGTGAATCTATCAATTCTAAGTTGTCTATGGTGGTATCTACAAATAAAATCTTCTTCTTCAGAATACTATTTGTTTTGCTTATTTACCTGCAATTTCTTAGGGGGAAAATGCTGTCTTAAAAGTATCAATATTTGCTTTTATGTTAAACTGTTTGAAGAACCTGGAACATTTATCAGTAACATTTATCAGTAACATGTATTAATTGGCTATTTCAAATCTTTATTTTCTTCTTTTGTGTCATATAACCAAAAAAGTCAGTATTCAGGATCAGGACTTGTCCTATGGAATCTAGTAGAAGGATGAGTTAGTTCATTGTAAGCAGATGGTTTTTTTTTGGGGGGGGGGGAGAATGCTAGTAAAATGCTCTATTTCCTTCTTTGTCCCAGACACCCAATGTTATTGGGTTTGGTTTCCTTGTATTTTGGCTCAGCATAGAAGGACCTATGCACACAATCATTAATTAATTTAAAATGTGCCAAAGTTTACTTGAGCTGAAATGGACATGAAGTTGTACAGTTTTCCTGTTTCAAAGTTTATTAAATAGAATATAAGGGCAATTGTAAAACTTAATTCTTGAGTTCATGACATTAGTTTAACTCTCTTGACTCCTGCTAAGCAAACCTTAATGCCACATAGCACTGATCTATTAGAGAGAGAGGAGAAAACTGACCGTTTGATAGTTCAATTGCTTTATATCCTTGGACAACTATATGTTACATATATTCCAAAATATTAAATATTGTTGATAAATGTTTTCTTACTTATTAGATATTTCTTCATCGTTTGCTCATGAATCACTTCACTGTGACTGATCTGTGAAAGACAGTGATGCATGTGAGCATGTATTGTATTACGATGTTTATTAATTTTTATTACTGATCCTGGAAAGGTTGAAAGAAACTTAAGACTGTTATAGACTTTACTTTTTTTCAGCATGCCCTAAGAAATTTAAAATGTGTAGTTTTACACATTGTAAAAGATTCCTGTCTCAAGGACAGGAATCTTCAGAAACATTCATACATTGATTCAGAGACATACATTAATTTATCAGGCAGTTTAAACTAATTGTGTTTTTCTGGTGAGTTTTTGCATAGTTGCTAAGTGCATTTCAGAATTTCTGGACTGAGAAAGGCCACCTTCACAGAAAGAGTTAAACATATAATATTTATCATATCCCTGTTTGTGGATTGTACAAAGCAATCTATGAATAATCTACTATTAGACTAAATGTTTATGCTGCAATAATTATATCATAGTTGTGAAATTGTATGGGTGGACATCAATAAATTATAATCTTCCATTTAAATGTTTTCCCCACTGCATCCTCTCCCTTTTTTTCCTCGCTGTTAAAAAATCATTAAGGTAAAAAGAAGAGCTGTAAATTGACACTTGATTGATAGTACTGGTATGAAATCAGCATACCTAGGGGTAGCAAGGGAGCTGGACCAGGTCATCTCTGCATTCCTTCCACTAACACTGCTTGCTATGTATTCAGTTCATGATCAGTTGCTGAGAAACCGACCCCTGACAAGACAGATTATAAAATAAAACAAGAAATAAAAATAATTAAAGACAAAGAAGGAATTGGAATTTAAAGGAGTTCAAACATTCTCAAGTTTGCATGCTAACAGTTTATCACGATTGCACTTTTAGAAAATGTACTTCATAGCATCAAGATATTGATTGTTCACAGTTGTATAATTGATCAAAATTTTACATTTTTATTTTTTATATTGTTAAAGATAACTAATATCTATAATTAGAATAAAAATAATTTTCAGAAAACAATAATAAAAAAGGAAAAATAAAAATTAAGCAGAGAAAAATAAAGAAATGTATAAATAATTTTAGTAATTAGTCACTTAAAATACAACAAACGATGTCTTCTTCCCATGTCACCTTTTTATCTATGAACAAATCCTTGAAACCTCCTTGTTCAGTCCTGATCAGCAAAAGTCCATTAAAGTTTACTAAACATAATATATCTATTTTAACCTTGATCAAATAAACCAACTTCATCATTCTTCCCTTTTACTATTAACAATCTACATCTATTACTGTTCAAGTAATAGTCTAGAATTTGATTTCTTTTCATTTTTGTCTTTGTCCCTCATCACAACATTCTTCAGAGCGATAACAAGTCCCTTTTGTAAATCTGATAAAATTATCTAGGTCACTATCTTGGTATGTTATTTGTATATCCCTTTTAATTATTAAGAGCTCAGTTGGTTTCATTTATGTATTCAAGGTTACCTCACACATGCGTGCTAGTTGTTTCTGGCTCTAGGGGCAGTGCTCATCTCTGTTTCTAAGCTGAAGAACCAGTGCTGCCTGAAGACATCTCCGTGGTCATGTGGGCGGCATGACTAAACGCTGAAGGCGCACGGAGTTTTGTTATCTTCCCACCAAAGTGGTCCCTATTTTTCTACTTGCATTTTTATGTGCTTGCATTTTTATGTGCCTTCGAATTTCTAGGTTGGCAGAATCTGGGGTAAGTAATGGGAGTTCACCCTGTTACATGGTGCTAGAGATTCGAATTGCTGAATTGCCAACCTTCAGATCAACAAGCTCAGCATCTTAGCCACTGAGCCACTGCGTCCCTTTTATATTCAATATAGCATCTTTTCCTATGTAATTCTTGTAACCTGTCATTTTAAAATCCACTTTCAGAACAGTCTCAATCTTGTCATAGTCTCTCTATAGAACCAAACATTCTTAAAATTAACTTCTGAGGTCATTGTTCAAAGATATTTTTCAATATGTCTAATTTAATAATATTTTACCTCCTTTTTTATTGGTCACATTTAGTCAAATTAGTGACATTTCAGTATTCTTCTCTTTTAATTGTAATCTTTAATTCCTTCTAGTTTTCCTGATTTACAATCATTCATTTAAAGACCATTAAAAGTAATAATGGTGCTTTAAAAAGTGACTTATGACTGGTTCTCGCATTTACGATCTTTTGTAGCATCCATGTGATCACGTAATCAAAATTTGGTAACTGGCATGCATGTATGATGGTTATAGCATCTTGAAGTCATGTGATCTGCATTTCTGACTTCAGGACTTCCAACAACAACGTCAATGGGGGGGTAGACAGATTTGCTTAACAACCATGGTGATTCACTTATAACCCCAGCAAATGTGGTAAAACTGGGCACAAGTCAGTTAAACACTTAGCGATGGAAGTTTTGGTCTCATTTATGATTGTAAGTTAAGAATTACCTCAGTATCCAACTTTCAAAGTCTCATCATGTTTTTCAGAGAATTCAAAACAATAATATTTTCCAATGGGGAGGATTCTTATAATTAATTGCAAAATGTTATTTCAAATCCACCTGGACCCTCAGTCCATTTGTAACTTTCCAAAATCAAGATTCTAATCACCCTTTTGCTGTTCATTCCAAAATATTTCTTTTTTAATCGTTAAGCTTCTATTTAAAACTTCTTTCAATAAGGGTTGAAGGACACTCATCTGGAGCTCTAAAGCAAGTTGATCCAAAGCTTCCTAACAGCTGAAAAGCAGTTAACAAGCAATATTTGGAAGTGATTAGAAAAGGAAGTATGCGAACCCAGTATCTCTTTTGAGGGCACCAAATGTAGTTTCAGCAAGACGGTTATTCCCTCATTGCTTAAAGCTCCGCCAATTATTGTGTTGCCATTTACAGTAGCAAGCATCTGGAACACGTATGGATGACTTCAAGTCCTCTCCTTGCCCAGAGAAAAAATATTGCAAACTCTTCATTTGTTTGTCATTTCTCCCACATAAGTGTTTACAATATAGGTTCCTCTTGTTGGTTTGATCTGTTCTGTTTTTTGTTTTGTTTTTTTGTTTTTTGTTTTACTTTTCTGTCCAACTGCATTTTGCGTATACTGGCTTTT